AAAAAAAAAAAAACAAAAAACAAAAAAACAAAACAGAAGTTCCATTTGATCCAGGTGTTCCCTTTCTAGGTATCCTCCCCAAAGAGTTGAAAGCATCGTACCATGTGGTATATTCATGCCCATGTTTAGACCAGCACATTTATAACAGCTAAATCTTGGAAACAGCCCAGAAATGTATCAAAAAATGGATAGAGAAAATATGGTATGTATATACAATGGAGTACTATTGTGCCATAAAGAAGGATAACCTTGAGTCATTTGTAGGAAAATGGGTGCACCTCAAGACCACAATCCTAAGTGAAATAAATTAGACACACAAGCTAAAAATGTCATTGTTTCTCTTGTGTAAGGAACCCAAAGTGTAAATAAAGAGCTTAGTGGAAGGTAGATGTAGGGAAGTAGACAGAATGTATTCAAATGGGAGGGGACCCAGGGAAGGGGGAGGGAGGAAGGGAAGGAAGGGAAAAGGAGAAAAAGAGAACAGAAGGAAAAATAGAAACAACATTTTTGTAAATGGTAGGGGAAGTAAGGTTGAAAGGGGAGAATGGAACAAAAAATGAATTAAGATGTATTATGTACAGGTACAAATTCCCTACAATGAATGCAATCAATATGTATGACAAACATGTACTAATAAAAAACAAAGTTACAAAATAAATAATGATTGGAAAAGAAAAAATGATTATCCACAGAAATCCTCCTCCGTGTGGTCTTGGCTTCAGACAGCTGCCTCTTTATGCATTAGGCTTGCATCACAGAGATGGACCCTGGCCTGCCAGGGAGGGGGTCTCAGGTCTGTGCAGAATTTGCTTCACTTGGCTGTTGTACTTTTTCCTAGGTGTCAGAGTATCATTTCCTTTTTTTATTGTGTTGCTAACTTCTCATATCTTTTTTTAATAAGAACTAAAAAAATAAAAAATGATACAGAATTTCAAAACAAGATGATAGGAAATTAATAACGGCTATTGTATTGCATATTGTCACCTTCAAAGTAGTTGCTCAGATGACCAGATATAGGCGTGCAAAATAGATCAAATAGTATTTTTCCCTCTGTTTTTTCTCCTTTCCCTCATCCCAGTTGTTCTTTCCTTTTGAGCAGTTTCTTTCCCTTTCACAGTATCTATTGTACATTTTAGATCTTATTTACTCTTTCAGTTTCTTTACACTAAGGAGAAAATACAATGTTTACACATGAGCCTGATTTATTTCACTTATGAGTATGGTCTCTAATTGCATCCATTACCTGTAAAAGCCTTGAGTTTATCCTTCTTTATAGCTTAGTAGTCCATTGTATAAAAATACCACATCTTTTTTATCCATTCCTTGGCTGATGGGTATTCAGGTTGTTTCCAAGATTTAGCTATGACAAATTGTGCTGCTGTAAACGTGGGTGCGCATATATCACCATGGTATGATGTTTTTAATTCTTCTGGGAAAATACCCAGAAGGGGAATAACTGGGTCGAGTGGGACCTTTAATCCTAGTTTATTGAGGAATCTCCACACTGATTTCCATAGTGGTTGTACCAGGCTACACTCCCACCAACAGTGGAGAAGTGTTCCTTTTTCCCACAGCCCCACCAGCATTTGTTATTGATTGATTTCTTGACGATAGCCATTCGTTCTGGGGTGAGATGGAATCTCAGTGTTGTTTTAATTTGCATTTCTTGAATGATTGATGATATTAAACATTTTTTCATATATTTATTTGCCATTTATATCTCTTCATCTGAGAAGTGTGTATTCATCTCAGATACCCATTTTTGAATTGAGTCTGTGGATTTTGGAGACCTGATTTTTTTCAAGTCTTTGTATGTCCTAAATAGAAGTCCTTGTCTGAGGGACAGTTGGCTAAGATATTCTCCCAGCCTGTGTGTTTTCTTTTCACTCTATTGCTGATTTCTTTCGATGCACAAAAACTTTTTAAGAAGTTGAGATCTCAATTGTTGATTCCTTGAAGTATTTTCAGTACATTTTAATTTTTGTTCATGAACTCTTGGCCTACCCGTATGTTTTGAAGATTTTTACCTACTTTCTCTTCTAGTGGATTGCATGTTTCTGTTTTAATATTTGGATCTTGATTCATTTTTACTTCCATTTAGTGCACAATGGATAAGTCTATTTTTAGTCTTCAGCGTGTTGAAAGCCAGTTGTTCTAGCACCATTTATTGAAGAGGCTGTCCTTCTTCTAGTGAACTTGTTTGGCTCCTTTATCAAAGATAAGGTGGCTCAGTGTATTTATAGTTGTTTTCATCTTCTAATCTGTTCCACTGGTCCTCAGCTCTGTCTTTTTGCCAATATCATGCTGATTTTATCACAATAGCCTTATAGTATAATTTCAAGTCAGGGATTGTGATGCCTCTTGCCTTGCCTTTACATGTTTGTACTACAAGGTTACATTCATGGTGAAGTTGATACAGTTAATGTACAGAATGAAAATAGCTCTACCTAGCACATTATGGTGTAATCCATAAAGCATAGCTTGTTCTCAAAGTCATTTTAATGGAGCACAGTCCCCATCCCCAGACATTGCCAGAATCCAGGTAACAAATATGAGCCTAGCATGGCCAAATTATTGATTTAGTTAGACCATATGTCAAAATTTAAAAAAAGAAAAATACAATTTAAAATGGTGTGGGAATATAGTTCAGTGAGAAATCCCGAGTTCAAATTCTAGTACTAAAGAAAAAATTTAGGAAGAAAAATAATGTTAAATATTTTTCATTCTAAGATATCCCAATTTTGAGAAGATATATGTAGTATCCAAATATTGCAGCCATCTTATTTAAAAGGTTAACAATAAAAATTTCAGTCAATGAAGATACCTAACAGTAGACCAATGTCTACATAGTCATAAACCTTATGCTGTGTTTGTTCAGTAAAGGAAACTACAGTTTTCAAGGTAAGGGAAACTCCAAAAGCTTTGGGTTGGTGAAATTATAGGTGATTTTTATATTTTCCTTTTTAGATTTTTCTCTATTAAAAAATTGAATTTTTGAATATTGAATTTATGTAATATAAGTAGTTTCTTCTCAGGCTGATTATATAAAATCAAATAAAAAAAACACAGAAAACTCAAGCCACTTTTGTACAATCCTCACAAAAACAAATAAAGCAATGAAATGAACTAAGACAAAATCCTCAAACTGCTCCAAACAACTGCCTCCAAGCAAACCTTAACAACTTCTATGTCACTCATACAACTACAATATGAAGGAGAAATTTCACCTCTAAATATTTTCCCCAAGAAATGCAAGTCTATAATATACAGGTGTGTATACAAATGGCCATAGCAGCTTCATTTTTAAGGTCAGTACTGGACACAGCACCAATGGCCATCAGCAGATGGATCGGGAACAATTCTTGCTCCATCCACACAATGGCAAGCGATGGCTCCACCACTGACGAGAACTGAAACCCAACGTGGTTTTACTGCTGGAAGACAACCTGGCAAAAACATTTATACCAAATGGTGACAGCCCTGTCACATCTAGAAAAGGCAGACTCTCCACCAAGGACACAAAGTACCGGGGCTGCGTGGGATGGGAGGATAGATAGGAGGGGATGACAGTGCCCACAAGCAAAGTCCCCAAAGATGTGTGAATGTGTTCTGCACCTCCCCTGGGGCGATGATCTCCAGGGCCTCGCAAAAACTATGCCTTGCAGTCACCACCTGCTGTCCTCTCACACTATGTCGCCATGCTCAATACTACTGTTAGTGACTGAGATCAGTATCGAAGTGTGAATCCTTATTCATGTGCACCTGAAGTTAAAACCTGCTATGACTCCTTCTGTCCTGGTCAACCAGGAGTTACCATTTGAAGTGTTTTTATCCATTCGTGCAAATTGCTACGGACATTTATGGAACATCGCCATAGTCACTATCACAGTTGAAATGCAACAAAAGTGAACCAGGAAAGAAGATCATCCTAAAATCTGACAGAGCTCTACGTGATGACCCTGAGCACTGCGTCATGAGAGAGAATGGGCCCTTCAGATGGAAAAGCACACTTCCCTGGGCCTGCTGCATCTTAAACATCTACACGTGTTGTATTTAAACTTCAAATTCATCAGACTCTGACATCACAGGCAGCTGCCTATGTTTTCATTGCTGTGTCTCAGGAGCACACAGATTGTTCACTATGGAGAGAAAGGGGCTGTAGGGTCTTCTCATCAGAGGGGGAGCTCAGCCTGTGGGCCCAGCACGTGACCTCACTTCCTTGGCGATAGGTCCAAACAGAACTTGGAACCCTGCGGTGACTGGGCAGCACAGTCTAGCGGTGGCTGCCTCCCTAATCACTTGGCTGTAGACAGTCAGGGGAGAACATGCTGTGCTGCTTTCCCAGGCCTCAAGGTGGAAGGCGCAGGACCCCACGCAGGGAGAGCACGTGGGCACGAGTGCGAAGGTGGATCGCTCGGCCCAGGCTCTTCGGGCCACGGGGCAGGAACCGCCCAACTGCCGTGGGCAGCACAGCGCGGGTCTCCCCAGACCCAGCGACCACGGGCTCAGAGATAAGAGGGAGCCCACAGCGGGTCTCCCTGGGCCTGGACAGGAGCCACTTGGAGCCACCAAGCCCAGGACAGGTCCACTTAGGCTCGGTCGGCACTGTGAGTCCCCTGCCCAACTCCCGTCCTCACTATGTGTGTTGTTGGGGGGAAGTCAGGGTCCTAGCAAAGTTCCTCCTGGGCAGGAGCAGGTGCTGGGAGGCTGTGGGCCTGGGGTCCTGTCACATTCCCACCCATGACAGGGCTGCAGGAGGAGCAGGGCAGTGCCCAGAGATTATCCACAGCCCAGAGCCATCTCCTGGCCTCCCGAGGTAGAAGCCAGTGACGGAGCTGTTTGAGTGTCAGCAGCACAGGCTCCTCTGAGGCAAAAGCAGCACAAACTGTGGTCAGGCAGAGCCTCATGCTTCGTGCCAGCTGCTGGGCTCTGTCCCAACCGAGCGGCTCCCAGGGCATCGGGCTGGAGCTTGTCACAGGGCCTGTGTGCTGTGTGCCTGTGACACACACTGGACTCCCAGTTGCAACAGATGCCAGCTAGGGCACAGGGTGTGTGTGTGAGCTGAGGGCCATAGGAGGACAGAGAGGACCCTCGGGGACAGATAACATGTTCATCACCTCCCTCCAGGGCTTGGGAAACAGCAGGTCCAGTGTGCAGCTCCCAGAGGACTGTGCACCTCACGTCTTCAACATCCACATCCGCTGTGCTCAGCCTCCACCTCGGGAGGGGCAGGCTCACTGTCCACATGTTGCCGGGGCTGGGGGTACCAAAAGAGGGACGAAGACACTATGTTCCTTGACTTCACTCGTTATTTACAATTTACCTCATTGTAACTCCTGGCCTAGGTGTCCAAGTGGCACCTGTCAGATGTCTGGGACGCCTGGGCTAAATGAGCTCTACAAGGGTAGCTTAGTCCTCAAGCCCTCCTGGTAAGTCACGGGTGTTACACCAACCCCATGTCTCCCCACTGTCCCACCACAGATTGGAAACCAGGCAGCCGAGAGCCCGGCAGAGGTCTGCACAGAGAGGACGGAGCTGGCAGGTGCAGACACACAGCGCACCCTGACGGAGCTCCCGGAGCAGGCTTCCCTGGACAGCGGCCCCGTCAGCAGGCCCTGCTTCCCAGAGGGCTCCAGGGCCAACACTTCCTCCTCACAGGACCTCATGGTGGGAAGGTGAGCTCTGCGCTCAGCAGCGCAGTGTGTGACGCCACCTAAGGCTCCAAGTCTTTGGAAGGTGCAAGCCCCTCTCGGCCTCTGTCGAGTAAATCAAGCGCACTTCATGGCTGTAGGATGGAATGGGGTCTCATAAGACTCCACCCTGGCCTTGGCCCCGTGGAAGACCAGCTGCAGTGGCCCTGCTGATTCTCACAGATGATCTTCCATCCCCACTGGCAAGCTTTGCCTCCCCCACACTCACCCCTGCACCTGGGGAAAGTTGTTCTGGTCATTGTCCAGGAGATTGCAGAGTCAGTCTGTGGGCTTCAGGGTGGTCCCAGGCAGGAATCCTTGGTGAATACAAAGGCCCCACGCCACTTACACGTCATGGAAGTGCCAGTGGGAACATTAATCCAGGAACATGAAGACATACTATGTGCAGACACTTCTCTGGGCCTTGACCATGAGCCAACAACCAGGGCAGATGCAAGCACAGTCCTCTGGGCTTTCAATGCTATTTGGGGTCCACACAGTTATCCTGGAAGCAGAGCAGGCATTACCACATTACAGAGACGAGCCTGCCCCTGGCCTCCCTAGATGTGGGTCCCAACAGTTCGAGAGGAGCCCAGAGGAGGCGCAGAGCACTGGGCAGCATGCCGCTGCATGAGCTGAAACCGGAAGAGAGGGCAGGACAGACGCCTGCTGTCCCCTCGCTTCTCTGACATGTGAGGAGCAGCCCTGTGCCCTTGAGTGCAACCACTCGGCAGGTACCAGTCTCTGTCCTCATGGAGCTGACAGTGGGGACGGGCAGAGGGACAGTGTGTCAGCTGCCCTGAAGCAGGCAGCGTGGTGACGCCCCCGAGGAAGGGCTCCCTCCCACAGAGCCTTCTGTCAGGTGCTCAGGGCTGCCTGGGCCAGGACTGCTCCATGGGTTTATGGAGACCGCGGGGCTGGACCATGCACGGATGGTGGAGGCCACATGTCCATCCTTGCTGGGGGCAGGGAGTGTGGGCAGCAAGGCCAGGCCTCTCACTCCGCTGCTATCCAACTTCCCCAGGGTCCATGTCCTCCATCCTTGACTCCTTGCTGAAGCTGCACTCCCAGGTGCACCACACAGCCAAGCTTCTTCTGGCCCAGCTGGAGCAGGCTGAGCTCACTGAGGCAGAGCCCAGGGGTGAGGAGGACTAGGGTATGGGACTATAGCCATGGGGTGGGCGGTTGAAAACAGACAGAGCTTCCAGGTGCTGGGTGATCCCTGAACACTGAGACCCTCAGCAGTCAGTTGGGGGGGGGTGAGTCTGGGAGGACTTCCTGGGCATGGCTTGGTGCACAGAGCTGTCTCCGACAGGCAGTGGGAAGGTTTTGCCCCGGGAAGAAACATGGAGAGTTGCTGAGCTTTTCTTATCTTACAGCCCCAGGGCCAGCTCCAGCCCAAGCTGAAGTCCCGCCTGCGGAGTCCGTGCCAGCTCCACCGGCATCTCCCTCCCCGGCTCTGGCCCCACAGCGAGAGCCAGTGCCAGGAAGCCCTTGTGCGCCAGCTGTAGGGCTGGGGCTCCTGGTGGCGCCACAGCAGGGGTCAGCTCCCGAGCTTCCCCTGGGACCAGCGCCTGCCCCACCCCTGCCCTCCCCATGCATCACTGTTGCACATGTTTTGATGTTTACTTTTGCTTTCTTTTTCTGGGTTTACGTAAACAATAGATTTTTTTTAAAATAAATGTTAAAATTTTTGTGTGGTTTAAATCGATCAGCTGGGTGGCAGGAAGTGCATTCTCAGTGTTGTACACCCGGCACCACCGTCCAGGACCAGAGCACTCTCCTCAGTGCTGTGCCGAGTGGCTCCTCCCCTCCCCGTGCCGCGGGTCCAGGCCACCACTCACCTTAGGTCCCTACAACTTTCCTTTTCTACAGTTTGCACATTAGTGCAATCCGATTTCTCTCCAGTGGTATAATCCCAGAAGGGACTGATGAATCTCGGTTTTTGTCCAGTAGAAAATCCTCAATAGATCCTAATCATCTTTCACTCGTTTATTCAATAAATTATGCAGAATTTTTGACCAGAAGCATTTATTATAGTGAAATTAGCACCATGTAAGTGAATAATAAGCAAAAGGACACAGTCATCCACCAAAATCCGGAGTTCCCCCGAGGTGCTCCTCCTTCCTGTCTTCATCTTGGTGTTGAGGCGGGGGTGCAGCCCACAGCGCTCCCTCACCTCACGCACGCACTGTGGGCGTGGTCCCGTCGTCTCCGCCCCTCTTGCAGTCGGTGGTGTGACGCAGTGTCTCAGCCTCTCCTCCAGAAGGCTGCCAATTTTTCATGCCTCTAATAGAGCTGAAGGGAACGTTTGCGTCCCTTACTCTCACTTTCCAAGGTGGAATCCTGGCAGCGGAGTGTTAGGGTCACAGTCACAGAGGCGGGACAGAGAGATGCTCACGTCCCTGCTGTCCACAGGCAGAGCACGCGGTCCCCGGGGCACAGAGCTCCTGGTGGCCACTGGGAAACGTGTGTTTCGGCTTTCAGGGACCACTTGGGGGCAGTCCGTCATGGCTGACAGTTACATGTTGGAGGACAGAGGACAGCACAGCACAGCTCCACCACTTCTTCATAAAGAAGGACAAGCAACCTTGAGATCTTGATTAAGTTTTATTTTTAAAATATGAAATCTCAGAGCATCCTGGATTCCAGAGGTTGAAGGTTCCTAGGGGTGACTGGTCCAGTCTTGCCCTGGACACTGCAGAATTCGCTCGACTGAGGCACCTTATAAATCAGGAAATGTTTCTTTTCAGTACTGGGGAACGTTTCCCAGAGCTGCATCTCCAGCCCATTTCATTTTTGTTCTTAATGTTGTCACAGTCTCACTGAGTAGCTAAGTGGCCCGGCCTGGTCTCACATGCGTGGTTCTTGTGCCTCAGCCTCCCTCCTGCCTCTCCACCTCTCCGAGTACTGAGATTACAGATGTGCGCCACTCCACAGGTCTTCGTTACTCAGCTTTGGAAAGCAAACTCCACAATTGACCTCTAGGCCTGGCTGTCCTGCTTTAGGACTGGGTTGATCTCAGATCTGTGGCGAGGGTGTGGCCTCCACCAGAAGGGTAGTTCTCCCTGAGAGGCCAGCAGCTCGCTGCTCTTGTGCCTGTGCAGTGACATCACTCCAGGGCAGGCCACCCCCATGAGACCTGTCCCCTGTAGCCCCAAGAATCCTACATGAGGCTGGGAGCTTCAGACCGCCCCATGCCCGAGCCTGTGTCCCTGAAAACTCCCAGAAACCATCTTACCCGTCTCCACCATGGCCTGCAGCTCATGACCTGCACTGGACTGTCTCGGGCTCCTGCCGTGACCGCACACTGGCCCCATCCTGGCCACAGGCTGGGCGCTCGCACTGCACACCGCTACCCAGTGTGCTTGGCATAAAGAAAGGATCATTCAGACACAGCCGGGCCTCGTGCTGGCGTTGCTGGGGGATGGGGACTGCTGCTCCGTGGAAGTGACTTTGAGAACAATCTGTGCTTAATGGGTCCCTCCACAGGGTGCCAGGAGGGGCCTCATTTTCACTGTACACATTCAATGTACAATTCCGCATCAAGAATGTAATCATTGCGTACTCTGAACGTACTAATAACATAACTAATTATAAACAGTAAAATTTGAGTATACTAAATATTAAACTTATAAACACTATTAAAAGGTAATGAAGTTCTGAGAAATGGAAAAAAATACAAAAGCCAAGGGAAGCCAAGCGTACACAGACCCGAGACCCCCTACCCGGCAGGTCAGGGTCCTTCAGGCAGATGCAGCCTCCAGCACAAAGCAGCAGCTGTCCTGAAGCCAAAAACCACACCGATGGGATTTCTGCGGCCAATCTTGGTACAAAAGGGCATGTATTTTCATGATCAAACTTGATTGTACACACAACCCAGTGCAGACATGCAGAGCTTGCTGTGTGCTGACTTCCTAGGACCCCCAGGAGCTGCTCACCTCTGGGGGACACAAGCAAACCCCCCTCCCAGTACCTGGTGCTGACTGAGTCATGGAAGGGAAAGTGAACACAACATGCAGGCAAGTCTCAAGGAGTCTTGTCTCCCTACCCCACCTTTGTACCTCTGCTCAGTTCTAGCGCTGTGACTGAACCTGTGTCCCTTGTCCGGGCCCAGGACGCAGGCTCGGAGAGTGCCCTAAAGTGACAGTTGGAGACGCCCCTCCCCCTCCATAACTGCTCTCTTGCAGAAAGGCCTGGTCTTTCCCTACCCGCGCCTTTCCCCAGGAGCTTCGCAGACCGTGCTGGAATGCAGAGGTCTGGGTGGAGGTTAGTCATAACTTCCAAATATGCATATCCCACCGGCCAAATGTACACAGCTTCCCGGTGTTTGTGGGGAGACAGAAGTGGAAACACAAAGTGACAGCACCTTAGAGGAGCCCTGCTCTGTACGTTATCACCACAGCATCAGGGAGGCCTAGCAGGAAAACAAGCAGTGACTCTTCCCACTGCACAGCCTCACAAGACACAGCTGCCCCTTTGCTGATGGCCCACGCTTAGCTGCTCAGCCTCGTAGACGCCTGGCTCTAGGCCATGTGCCTCTGGCACCAGCGTGCAGGCCAGGTAAGAAAACGGGCAGCTTGGCAACTGCTTGGCCTTTGGCCCAGGCAAAGAAGACAGCCCCAGGATGAGACTCCTCACCTGAGGGCCAGGAGCTGGGGCGGAGTTACATCCCATGTATGCACTATATACCATGGGGCACGTGCCCCATGCCCCTCCCCTGTCCAAGGGCTGTCCAGCTTCTGATGGACCAGGGACGTGCCGGCACTATGCTTGACCCTCACCTCCAGACCACATAACAGAACTAGGTAATGCTTAGCACAACAAGGGACCATCTACCCTTGGGGCTGGCACAGGGAGCTGCGATCCTATTGGGCAAGCTTGTGTCCCCAGACCCATTTGGGCTGGTGCACCCTTACTTCCCTTTCTGCTAATGTGTGGTCCAGATCTGAAGCCACAGCTGTGCATTCAGGCACATGCATGCTGGGCTCCTTGGCCAAGTCCAATTCTTCCTGTCCCCCATAAGCCACTTGCACACACCCAGTGCCCTCCTGGATCCTGCCCGACAGATGGACCCACACTCGTCATCCCCAGTATCCACATGATTGTGTGTCACACGGGCACCCAGAGCTTGGACCAGTACATGGGTTGCTCTACAGTCAGGGGTCTCCAGCTGGGCCTCAAGATCCAGTTCTGACCACCATGGACCTTTGAGTACACCCGGTGCTGGGAGCTGCTTGAGATGGCCATAAGCCAAGAACAGAGGTTCCTGGTGGCCTCAGCATCAGGCTCTGGACCAAGAGCAAAAGCATGTTGGTTCCAGCTTGGTCTGTTGACAACAGATCAGCCATCCCATGGAGAACTGGCTTCTCTCTGGGCCAAAAAGGGCTTGGGGAACACAGAACACCCCCCAGGCCAGCCATGTGCAGCACAAGTCCAGCTGTGTGTGGGGGGAAGAACGGAGAAGACAGAGAAAAAGAGGAGAAGGAGAATGAATGCATGGAGAAAGGATGAGAGAAGAAAAAAAGTAAAGCAGAAGTAAAAAACATCCCTGCACTGGGCAAAGTTCTGATCCCTGATTTTGCCACCCACCTTATCTGCTTCTGCACAGGTAAAGAAACAATTGACAAAGCAAAGAGACAACCTACTGAGAGGGAAAAATTTCACCAGCTACTCCTCAAACAGACCAGCTAACATCTGGACTGCATAAAGAACTGAAAAAATTATTCCCTCCAAGGAAAAGGCTCAATAAAAAAATGGGCAAGTGAAATGAATAGACACTACACAGAAGTAGAAATGACTGATACTCATAACACCATAGGCATTAGAATAATGGAAATTAAAACAACACTGACCTTCCAACTTATCCCAGGAAGAATGGCCATCATCAAGAAATCAAATAACAACAAACGCTGGTAAGGTTGTGGGGGAAAGAATGGAAACTAATACAACCCCTATGCAAACCAGTAGAAAGATCCCTCAGAAAACTAAAACTAGAAATTCCATTTGACCCATCTATTCTCCTTGATATTCTGTATTACACACAACATATGATGATACCTGTATACCAGTGTTTATAGCACCACAATTCATAATAGCTAAATCTTGGAATCAGTCTATATGTCCATCATCAGATGAATGGATACAGAGAATGTGGTATTTACAAATAATGGAGTATTACTCTGCCATAAAGAAAAATAAATCAGAGTCCCTTGTAGGTAAGTAGATATGCCCTGAGATCATAATGGTAAGTGAAATAAATGAGACACACAAGCTTAAATATTGCTTGGTTTCTTTTATATGAGAAACACAAAATGTAAAAGAAGAGCAAAGTAAAAGATAGGGAAGAGGAGGTGGTGAGGTAGATCTTTTCAAGTGGAAATGAGATCACGATAGAGGGAGGAGGGAGAGAGGGAAGAGGAAAAGGATGAAAATGGAATCAGTCAGAGCTGAGTACAGGCACCAACGCACTACAAGTGAAGCAGACATCGTGTACCGCGGACCTCCAGTAGTAATAAAAATGTAATATGACACTTTGTACACATCATAATAACTGCTTCTATTGGAGTAAATGCACTTAGCTTAGATCACTTTCTCTTGCATACTTTCCAGATGCTCTTAGACAAGTTTATCGGCCCTTTTACTTCAATGAATGTAGTGCTTACTACTTCAGAGGCTGTAGTTGAATTAAAATGAGATAAAGAGAAGGAAAACCGTGTAAGGTGTAAATTTTATATAAATATAAGTTGTTATCAATCTGTTACTGAGAAGTCAGCAAAAACTGCTTTCCCTGAGATCACAGTGTCATAGAACATGGGCGCTATGGGAATACCTTCATCACTGTACAGTTTGGCTCAGTATCTTCAATAACAAGACTAGCCTACATTAGTTAGCCTTCATGTAGTGCATTATTACTGCTTTCATACTCACAATTATTCTGGGATGTTAGTATTATATTTTTTTGTTGTTTTTTGTTTTTTGTTGTTTTTTTTTCCCGGTACCGGGAATCGAACTCACGACCTTGCACTTGCCAGGCAGGCGCTGTGCCGCTGAGCTAAATCCCCAGCCCCAGCATTATATTTTTTTCAGATGCATAAACTGAGCTATAGAGCGATACAGTGTCCAGTCCCAAGCCCCACAGCCAGTCACTGATAGAACTGCAGCTCAGCCAGAGCCTTCCCAGTCTTTCTAGGCTCTTTCAACTCTGCCCCACCTTTCTTCAAAGTATTCACTGGCATGTCCTTCACAGCAAGAACGTAGATGGCTGATTGTCGTAAGCTGTAGGAAGAGGCAACTTTGTTAAACTGAGTTTTATACTTCTGTTTCTGGTTTGAGGGGGCCTGCACCCTGGAGTTGTTAAGATGGGATTTCTCCTTTCAAAGCAGAAAAAACTACTCGCTCCCAGACAGGAGGCCCTGCCCTTCTGCGGGCCTCTTCCTGACCTTCAGTAAGCCCTTTGTTCTCTGTTAAGTTTCTGATTCCCCCCCGAACAGTGTAACACTTTGTCCCTGCTCCTGCTGTGTGCAAACAAGGTGCAGCTCGGTGTAACTTTCCTGACCAATAGTGTGTCTCTAACTTATCCTAGCTACATGCAAAGCAGGTGAAATTCAGTGTAACTTTCTGCCCAATCAACCAAAGGCAAGCAGTTTCTGTACCTCCTCCATGGCTGAAAATCTTGTAACAATCCTCCTCCCTGAGAGTTGGGGCTTTGCTTTTTGGTGAATGATCCCAGCCACGCCTTCCAGTGTGAAGAAAGCCGTGCACCCGCCTCCAAACCTCGGAGGCCACCGGTTTGCTGGTCTTGGTGCTGCTGCGCTTTTCACAAGCTGTTAACACACTGAGTGCTGTAACACTTTCTGTAACACTCTGAGTTTTAAATACCTATACTTCTGCGTAAGTAAAGAGAGCCCTTGATACCTAATATCTAGGAGACTAGCAAGAGAAAGCTAAGGCTTGGCTTTCTCTGCCAGTACCATTACACACTATTACACTGTACGGGACCCCCTGTGAGTGAGAGTTCTGTGAGAAACCATCACCCATTCTATCACTCCTTCAAATTGCTGATGAGTGATTGTGAAAAGGAGGAGGGAAAGCAGGCGTGTTTGAATACTGCAGTCACGAAAGATGCGAGTGTATGTGCTGAGGACAGCGTGGTCCCCACTTGAGTTGTCAGTCGAGTTCGAATCCAGGATTTAGTGCCTAGAGATTACCGACCCTGTCTCTCTAACTCATAAGACAATAAGCATGAGACTGAACAAGGCTAACATCCAGTTCTGTCTTGGAGTGTGAAGGTTTCTGTCTGTGATTTTAAAACAATGTATTGGCTTGAGAACAAACACCACTCTTGAACTCCTTGGGGCTAAAGAACTTTTAGTGTCTTTGTGCTTCCAGTCTGATTTCACAATAATAGATGTTTTGGATCTAGATTACAATTTATTATAAAAGAAGCAGTTATCTGACCAGTGACCATGACGGCCGTACAAGGCAGTCCTGGTGTTTGTGGTCTATTTCTTCTTCATTTCAGCAAGGGGCAAAAGCAGAAGAGTGGCTGGCAGAAGCAGCAGTCCTGTCTCACAGCACGGAGGCATCTCAGGAGGAATCCAGGCTGAGGCATGTCTGAGGCATCGAGCAGAGGAAAGGAATTGAGGACAACCTCGCCTTGTGTCCAGAAGACCAGGATACCCTAAAATAGTAAGATCTTTTGTAAACGAGCATCCTTCTGATTCATAGAAAATGTTTTCTTGAGCGGTGCTATAATTTATTTTGGAAAGTGATGCTACAAGTAAAATTCTCAGTGGAGCAAGAGGGGGGACCTACTGGAGTGGACCATGAACAACGCAACCGGGAATAGTTACAATGACCTCGCACACCCACAAAAGAACAATCCATTCTTTATGCAGATTATAGGTCATTCCTTTTTTTTATTTTAAAAATAAAAGGAGGAAAACATTAACAGACAGACAACCTTTACAATATAGCAAGAGAACAGCACAGACAATACAGAGTTACAAACAAAGTGGTAGGAAATTAACAATGCTTGTTGTATTACATATTGCTATCTTCAAAGTGGTTTCTCATGAAAACAGATAGAGACATGCAATATTGAACAATCAAGGACTCATTAACAGTTTCTTTCAGCAAAGAAATAGAAGACAGTAGAATAACTATGTTAGCTATCCTGTATATATATACATACAAAATTTCTCCTTCTTTCCCTTCTCTTTTCCCCCAACCTAGTTGCCCTTTACCCTTGAGTGTTTTCCTATCATTTCACAATGTCTGTCATACCTCCAGGTTTAAATTAACTCTTTCAGGTTTTACACTAGTGAGACAATGTGGTGAGACAAATGGAACATTTGACACTTTCATACAGCTAATTAAAAAAGAATACCCTTGGTGGATTCTTTTTTTAATTAGCTGTATGGAAGTGTCAAATGTTCCATTTGCCTTTGATAGAAAATATGAAAATATTAAGTAATTCTTTGTATTTCATACTGCATGAAATAGGAAATGAAATATAAGTATATATATGTAAAACTGTTGATTTTGTGCAAATTGAAAAATAAGAAACAGCTGATTATGTGTAAAATGAAAAGAAATAAGATCATCAGAGAAACTAAGTATTTAAAGACTGCCTTTAAAAGTATATTTCTTAGTCTTAAAAGTATTTCTATTTGATCTGTGCTATTTTTCTTCTATATATTTCAAAATCAGAGTTACATTTAAAATTTAATTTTTCAAGATTCAACATCCTCATATGTATTTTTAGCCACTCTGATGTCACAGATGTGAAAACTCACAATTAATTTTAAACTTGTATTACTTCAGGAGACCGATTTGATTAATTAAGTCACTTCAGCCTTGGGCACTCAGTGTGGTGTGATGGCCCAGCACATCTGGATCAGAAAAGCCTTCAAGTGGGCCCCTGGCATTCTGGGATCTTGGTTAAGTTTTCTGTGGGGCCCACTTGGAAAAGAAAATAATAATGTATATCTATAGTTCACATTGTACTGAAATATAGGTATATGTATATTGGGTTAAAACATTTTGTGCTCTGGAAAGAATTGATAGTGTTCTACTTTCATATATAAAGTTATTTTAAAACCATGAAGATGTATCTATGTGGACATTTCTCAGGGTCCATGGTATGGGTCTGCTGCAATTCTTGGTCATGAAGCAGAAAGAAGCATACAGGCTTTTATGGGTTTTGAACTTGAAACTCAGTTGTATGTAAAATATGCTTCAAAATTCAGTGGTAAATCGAGGGGGACGAATGCCATTGTTTTAGTCTGGTCTTAACTATGAATGGGGGTAGTGATCAGGCTTTGGCAGGTAGGCAGGATATAATTTTTCTCCTTTTATCTCTTTT